GATGGACTTTATTTTTGTGCATTACCAAGATTCTTTCTGACAACTCATCTCTAAATTTCTGCAGGTGTATCTCCAAGTGACTATAAAGTACCAGAGGAAGTCAAAGCTGCTGGATTTGATATATGTGCGGATGAGCTAGGATCCATAGTTGAAGGCCATGATGTAAAGAAACTAAAGTTTCATGATGGAGTGTCCGGAATTGCAAAAAAGCTTTCCGCGTCAACGACAAGCGGGCTTACAACAGAAGGGGATCTATTCCATCGCAGGCAAGAGGTTTTTGGAATCAACAAGTTTGCTGAGACTGAATCTAGAAGCTTTTGGGTGTTTGTTTGGGAAGCTCTTCATGACATGACTCTTATGATCCTTGGTGTGTGTGCTTTTGTATCTCTCATCGTTGGCCTAGCAATGGAAGGATGGCCAAAGGGAGCTCATGATGGTCTTGGTATTGTTGCAAGTATCCTCTTGGTTGTGTTTGTGACTGCAACAAGTGATTACCGCCAATCCTTACAGTTCAAGGATTTGGACAAGGAGAAAAAGAAGATTACTATTCAGGTCACAAGAAATGGATTCAGGCAGAAAATGTCCATATATGATTTGCTTCCTGGTGACATTGTTCATCTTGCAATTGGAGATCAAGTTCCTGCAGATGGGCTTTTTGTTTCAGGGTTTTCTGTGGTTATTGATGAATCAAGTTTGACGGGTGAGAGTGAACCGGTAATGGTGAATGCTGAAAATCCTTTTCTGCTTTCTGGAACCAAGGTTCAAGATGGGTCATGCAAGATGATGGTCACCACTGTTGGGATGAGGACTCAGTGGGGGAAATTGATGGCAACTCTTAGTGAAGGGGGTGATGATGAAACTCCGTTGCAGGTGAAATTGAACGGAGTTGCAACCATTATTGGGAAGATAGGCCTTTTCTTTGCTGTTGTGACTTTTGCCGTTTTGGTGCAAGGATTATTTACCCGGAAACTGCAAGAGGGGACTCATTGGAGCTGGGCTGGGGATGAGGCACTACAGTTGTTGGAGTATTTTGCTATTGCAGTTACAATTGTTGTTGTTGCAGTTCCAGAAGGTCTTCCATTGGCTGTCACTCTTAGTCTTGCCTTTGCCATGAAGAAGATGATGAATGACAAAGCTCTTGTCCGGCACCTTGCAGCTTGTGAGACTATGGGATCAGCAACTAGTATTTGCAGTGACAAAACTGGGACTTTAACAACCAATCACATGACGGTGGTAAAATCCTGCATTTGCATGGATATCAAGGAAGTAGAAAATAAAGGTCCAAACTTGAGTTTTGAAATCTCAGATTCTGCTCGAAAAATTCTGCTGCAATCAATATTCAATAACACTGGGGGTGAAGTTGTGGTTAACAAAGACGAGAAACTTGAGATTCTGGGAACACCCACAGAGACTGCTATACTAGAGTTTGGACTGTCTCTTGGTGGAGATTTCTTGGCTGAGAGACAAGCATACAAAATTATTAAAGTTGAGCCTTTCAACTCTACAAAGAAAAGGATGGGGGTGGTACTGGAGCTCCCGGAAGGAGGTCTACGAGCCCACTGCAAAGGTGCTTCGGAAATAGTTTTGGCTGCTTGTGATAAGGTGCTTATTTCAAATGGTGAGGTTGTTCCCCTTGATGAAGTATCCTTGAACCATCTAAATGTTACCATCAATCAGTTTGCAAGTGAGGCTCTTCGAACTCTTTGTCTTGCATATATGGACCTGAAGAATGGATTCTCTCCAGAAGATCCTATTCCTCTTTCAGGGTATACATGTATAGGAATTGTGGGTATAAAAGACCCTGTTCGTCCTGGTGTCAAAGAATCTGTAGCAGTCTGCCGTGCAGCTGGTATCACCGTGCGGATGGTTACAGGAGATAACATAAATACTGCAAAAGCTATAGCTAGGGAATGCGGGATTCTCACTGATGATGGTATTGCTATTGAAGGTCCAGATTTCCGAGAGAAGACTCAAGAGCAATTGCTTGAATTAATTCCTAAGATTCAGGTGCTTTTAAATTTCTATTTACTGCAGCATTATTTTATCATTTTTAGTATCATATTCATCTTCCTTCTGTCTGAACATTTTTTATTCTATCTGTAGGTGATGGCTCGATCTGCCCCAATGGATAAGCATACTCTCGTAAAGCACTTGCGAACAACCTTTGATGAAGTTGTTGCAGTGACTGGTGATGGAACTAATGATGCTCCTGCACTTCATGAAGCAGATATTGGACTTGCAATGGGCATTGCTGGAACTGAGGTGAGTCTGCTTTTATGCTTTTGAGGTGCATCATTCCTTATATGGTCGTGAGCTCATTATATTGTATGATTGTAAACTTGAAGTGTCATTAAGTGAAAAACCTGTTGACTACTCAGTTGGGATTTTCTTTTCCAAACATTTACTTCTCTATCTTGCATGTCAACCCTTGTAAGATCATATCAAAAGACTTCGGTGTTTTGCCTATGTCCTTACTGTCAACACGATTTATTCTTGTGATGTACAAAAAGAAATTCTAAGATAAAATTATGTTCAGATACATCAGAATGAGAATTTTTTTTAATAAAAACCTTGGCTACGGAAACAGAACTTGTTGGATTAGTTGGGGTTGTCTGCAGGGATACAGAGAGCAGTTTCTGTAAGTTCATAGTGAGATCGAGGAGTTTAAATGTGCTAGAATAATGTTTGATCGACTGATCATATCCAATGAAAGAATATGAGTTGGAAGTCATTGCGAATGCTTTATCAACTAATTTCTTTTTGAAAACATCAGGTGGCTAAGGAGAGTGCTGATGTTATCATTCTGGATGACAATTTCACCACAATTGCAACTGTGGCCAAGTGGGGACGTTCCGTTTACATAAACATTCAAAAGTTTGTACAGTTCCAGCTAACAGTAAATGTGGTTGCATTGATTGTTAACTTCTCTTCAGCCTGTCTCACAGGTAAGACTAATATTTTGCTAATGGTTCGTTTACTTATCTAATGTTTGACCATTTTTGCTAATGCATTTGCAACCATCATTCAAGGAAGTGCTCCTCTCACAGCTGTTCAGTTATTGTGGGTCAATATGATTATGGATACTCTGGGAGCACTTGCGTTAGCAACAGAACCTCCAAATGATGAACTGATGAAGCGCTCTCCTGTTGGAAGGAGAGGAAATTTTATCAGCAATGCCATGTGGAGGAATATCTTAGGACAATCTCTTTATCAGTTTATCATCATATGGTGTCTTCAGGCAAAAGGAAAGGCATACTTTGGTCTTGATGGACCCGATTCTGATCTGATCTTGAACACACTTATCTTCAACTCCTTCGTTTTCTGTCAGGTAACTTCTTCTCAGATCTTTCAGAGAATGTTTCAAGTACCATGCAATATATGTTTAAATGCTGAAGAGAACTATCCTTTTAGATGCACGCATATGATTGTATGCATGCGATACATATCTATGGCGCAGCATGACACTTTTGCTTTGAACTAGACTGATGTGGTTGACTGTGCTCTGCAGATCTTCAATGAAATAAGCTCACGTGAGATGGAGGAAATCAATGTCTTTAGAGGAATCTTAGATAACTATGTGTTTGTGGGTGTTCTCGGCTGCACAGTGTTGTTCCAGATCATAATCATTGAGTTCCTGGGCACATTTGCAAACACATCACCTCTTACTTCCTCACAGTGGTTCGCGAGTGTCTTCGTTGGCTTCTTGGGCATGCCAATTTCTGCTATTTTGAAGATGTTTCCGGCATAGAAAAGAGCCAGGAGGACTATCTTTCTGAAGTACCCTTAAGATGATGCCTAAGCTCAGGTACAGAAGCTTCTGAGACACCTCCTTAAAATGGTAGATTTGTGAAGTGAAGAAACACTAACAGTCAGGGTAGAATTATCATGAAAAAGAAGCATCAACAACTTGGGATCTTTTTACTGTCTTTCACATACACTTTCTTCTGCGTTGTCTAATTAATGCTAAAAAAATTTCAAGCATTATTCTGGATTGGTAACTGTAGGATGAGAACAAGGTTCCTTAAATTTTGTAAGTTTTGTTCCACATATATATGGAAATCTCTCTTTTTTTTCTTCTCAGTTCTGTTCTATAATTATGTTGATGTCTCTAGATCCTGACAATTAGAGATTAAAAAAATGTTATATAACAAATGGTGTCTAAATATCCTTAAAAAAAAAAAAACCCACGAATTCCAACTCATGTACAATAGTAGGTACATCTGCTGTCAAAAAGAAATTTATTTACATTTCCATATATATACATATATATATATATGTAAGAAAAACAAAAGTTGTTAATCTTTTCCATATTTTCCTTCCCCAAGCTCAACAATATAATTGAACTTCTAAACTAAAGTTTCAATACCATCTATTCGTCCATCATGGTAAATCTCTCAGTTTCATATACATGATACATCCAAACAGGTTCCAGCAATTCTCTTGCAAAACACAATTTCTTCCTTTCATCGTCATCTTCGTTTCGTTCAGCAATTTCTTGTTCTATACGAGGATATATGTCTGGAAGACACACCAGCATCTTATCAAGCCCGTTCCACTGCTTGTCTTCTTGTCCAACCAGCTGCACACAGAGGAACTGTAGCAGACCCAGCACTAACCCAAAATCCTTCCTTTCTAGACCAACATCCGAGCAAATCAAAAGAAGTGACCCTACTGCATCCAGTATGTGAGGATTTCCTTTTAGCAATGAAACCATCACTCCCATAAGTTTTCTAAACTCTGGAAGTTTCTCAGGTTCCAAAATTTTGTCATCCTCTTCCAGGATAACTTCACTCATTTTATGAAGCTCGAACTTTGCCAGACGTAAAGGCCATAACGGAAAGTGGAACTTTATGTGATCAGTTGCATATAGGGACATCTCTTCCACTTCAGTCTGCCTGAACATACTAAGAGATCCTAATGCGAGAATCAGATCAGGAAGCCATGAGTTAGCTACAGCAACAAGGTGCGATGCATAAGTAGCGCCCAAAGATAGTTCAATTGATGTGATCAGATCAAGCAGGTCATTTGCAACGTCAAAAACTTCAACTGGAGGTGATGAAGTTTCACTGGTATCTGTAAGTACTACGTTAAGGAACTTTGCTGCATAACTGAACGAGCTCTTGAGGCACGTAGCAATGTCCTTCAAATCCTCCTCCTTAAACCGCAATTTATCACCAGGTTGTCTCCCTAAAGTGGAGATGTGATAATGCAAATAGGCAGATGTGAACTTTAAGCATTTTTGACGAAGGTGAGAAACAAAACCCACTATGGTGGAGTCAACTATGAACTTGAGAATTGCTGTTAGTATCTTCACCGTCCTAACAATCTTTCTTTGTTCACTGTAGTCGCACCCTGCATGAGAGGAAAAAAAGTTAGCAACTAGTATTCAATTATGATAATGACCCAGACATGTTCTGCAGGAAAATATGGGACCATGTCAAACCCGATAAATTATGGGAACTTATCATTCAGAAAAAAGTTACATGTAAGTCATTAAGAACAAAATTACTTTTGTAGTCTCTGATATTACAATTAACATTAGCTGAATTTGAAATAAATCAGGTGTTAGACCACCAAGTGGATAACACAGTTCAATTGTGAAAGTCCCTTCATAGCTTCACATCTTATATATCAACTAAACTTTTTTGACTAGCTTTTTGAAGACTAAATTTTGTTATATTTTAATTACAGCAGTGTTCCAAATGTATACAATAAGGTTCAGGTTCAGCAATTGATACTTCAGATCATACACATTCAAATGCCTATGCCAATGTTAAATGTCAATAGATGACAAAGCCTTCCAGTGATCCTGAAACCAAATCCAGCAACACAGTTCCCCTAAATCTAATTATTCAAAATAACCATTTAACTATGCACTATGCACGACATAGACTTCTTTCACGCAAATAACAGAGTACAATGGCAAGAACAGGGAAGAAAGCTAAATTAAGCAAAGGGAGAACAAGAGTATACAGGATATACCAACTTACTTCTGCAAACTATTAATCTGAATGCAATTTACTACCTATGAGGTAGTGGCCTCTTAACAAAGACTTACCGTCATTTCCTGAGTGCAGAGCATCTCTTAGGGGCTCCTGATGCTTTTTTCTGTGACGATTAGATATCTTAATGTTATCCTGATTAGATCTTGGACATGATTCACCACAAATTCCTGAGTAGTCAGCTGCAAACAGCTTCTCGGTACAACCAAGCAAGTGATCCATTGCCTGCTCCACGAGTGTCTGCAAAATTTTGTTTTAAAACAGGGAAAATGTTGACTGTCCAATTACTAATCTTTCCTAAATAACACATTGAAAAGGAGAAGATTCAGAAGTAAATAGTGACACATGGGAAACTAAACTTTTAGAGGAGTGCTGCAATGGCCCTTAAGAAAATTCAAATAGATCAAATTTGATTACTTATATGGTTTGGAACTTGGAAGATCCTCAGTAAGCTGGTTAACCAGAATTGGATTGAGAGCACCATTGATATTAAAAGGAACTATAAATTTCTAGAGATTGAAGGGATGGGCAGGGGCAAAGGTGAGACAGAGGGAAGATAATCTTATAGAATTCATATTCCCACCAAGGCTGTGATACAAAAACTGCTAATAGAACGAAGTAATTAAGATCCAACAAACTTGATCAACCTCTGGGAAAGATTGACATTAGATCAATGTGAGTTCCTACAAGAACGTTAAGAAAGTACTCCATATAATTAGAATTAGGTCCAGAGACAAGATCTTTTTTCCAGATTGATTTAACTTCAAGAGCTCAAACAAATAATATAACGCTCCACCAATCGTTTCAGCGTAGTAATTAAGATCAGCATATCATTTCAACAAACTGCAGTATTTAAAATGAAACTCAAAGAGTATTTCAAATGTGTATAAGACTAAGATAGATGCAACAGTAACTAAGCCTTAAGTAAAAATACTGTAAAGAAAAGGAATTTATTAAAATAGCTGAAGAACAGCACTCGCCTCTGAAAGTGGCCTTGATGAATAATTTCTATCATTCTTCTCACCACCAGAGTCATTTGTGCTGCTTAGATTCTGAAGAGTCATATGCAAGGCAAGGGCCGTGTATGCTAATACAGGATATGCATCCATATATTCATATTGCATGGACTGCACAATACTGGCCTCTGAAACAGCCTTTAGAGCAAGGAAAAGTTCTAGAGTTTGAGGACCTAATGTGGCCTTCCGAGTATCCTCAGATATAAGCAAATCTTTTATTTGCCAAGCTATTCCCACAACAGTTGCATAATCTTCTTCAAAAGTGGATGCTGCTTTCTTGCTAAAGTGTTTCCATTTAGCAGAAAAATTACTAGACAATTTGCAGTTCTTTCTTTTTGCAGAAGAAATTCTTTGCTTGTTTATTTCTGTGCCAAACTTAATATGACAACGATAGGCAGCTTTCTGCAAAAGCCTTAATAAAGTTCCAAGCATGTCATCAAAGGCATTACAAGATAGCAATAACTTATGGGCGGACCTCACTTCAACTTGCCTTTCGTCATTTTCTAGCAAGCCACTACAATTGGCTACCAGGGCCATGCAATTTTCAAGAATCCCAGTAGCATTATCTAGAGAAGTGGTGCCAATGATATCAAGTACAGATGAGCGAGCACGTGAAGTAGATGCAGCAGCAAACAAGGACTTAATATTTTCACCAGTAAACAACTCTTTAAGGGTATTCCCACAACTAGACTCACTTGCTAGAGCTTTGCAAAGGCCAGCAATAGCAATTATAAAACCCTCAATTTGGTCCACCTCCAGCTTATCATTCAACAAAACTAAATCTACAAATACTCTGACAAGTTCTACAAGAGATTTATGAGATGCCCCTTCCAATAGAGCAAACTCACAAAACCTTGCACCAGCCATCGGATTCCTCTTTAGAAGTGTAACACACCGATTGCATGCCTCTTCAGTAGTCACCCTCGAGGGAAAGTATGATGGCATGAGCAATCTAGTAATTTTCTGAGCAACCTGAGGCTGGTCATTTGCAAGTGTAGATAATAAAACATCATACCCCACAACCTGCAGCAGAAAACAAAGAACAATTTAACATTTCACGGTATATGAAAGGATGACAATTAGCTATTACTAATGCACACTAAAACTTTTGAAATTTTATTTACCTTGTTAAATTGGAAATTTCTTATATCCCTAAGAACGAGGAGAAGATCTGCGAGAGCAACCCGTATGGAGATAGAACTATCCAGCATCAAATGGCCCAACCTTGGCAGCAGCACTTTAAGAATTTCGTGCGATTGAGGATTACCAAGCAAGTAAACAATGCCATTCAGAGTAGAAACCCTAACTTCGTTGCACCTATCACGTGACATTTCATAAAAGATTTTTGTAATGATCTTTGTTATAGTTGCTGAAGGAATAATTTCCCAAAATAGATGGAGAACACGACAACCACCTTCCACTGCAACTAGTCTCACATCTGGACAATCATCGCGGAGTAATCTCTCCAAGAGGAAGAACTGTCTATCAAGAAGTGTATCTTTCACTTCTTTTGTGGCATCAGGATCTTCAAGAGGGAACAAATCTAAGAGCAAATGCAATGCATTTTGACGTACATTTGAATTTGCAACCTGCAGAAATACCAACCTGCATTATGTAGGGCTTTGATGAAGATGTTCAAAATGTATGCAAATGCGTTAATAGGACTGCATGTTTAGATGAGCTAACAGAATTGCGAACAGCAATTTCAACAAACTCGTAGTTAAGTTTATGGTCCAGAGACTGGAGCTTTTATCCATTTGTTTCCCAAGTGTTATAACCCAAGGCAAAACACAGGGTCATAGTTAAGTTTCAACAATCAGGTTAGCATCTACAACTGCATGCTTTTTTGTTAAATTTACGAATACGGTAATTCTTCAAGCATGTTTGTCAGTTTGTAAGCACACAAAAAATTTGCCTTCTGTTTCCCATTTCTCAGCAATAATAAAAATCAAAAGCCGAGAAGATGAGTAGACAAAGATAACTATCTTAAATATTAATCAATTAAAAGTCAAGACGGCTAAAGATATTGTCAACACGCATGAACGAAGTATCAGCTACCTTCATCTCCTTTCACTAGTTTACAGTCTTTCACTGACCTTGCGGCTAATCAAAATTATGATTGGGAAAATACTAACAATTCTAATGTTTATCAAGAAACGTGAATAGCCACAAACACATTAAAACTACATAAAAATGATCATATTCTTCGACTTTAAGGCTTGACGAATGAGGACAGTACCTGCAGAGACCGGAATATCACGGGTTCAGCAAGCCGAAAGATAAGTTTCTCAACCCCATCAGTGGTACGCTGAGTGATAAACCCTCCCAAAACCCTCCTAACAGATGCCGCAAACGCAGCAGAACTTGCATGTATCGCACCCTCAACAAGGCTCTGCAAGAACCCATCCTCTATCTCTCCCCTAAGGTCTCCTTCCACCCATTTCCAAGCCCTGAATAGAATTTCCCCGTAACCCTCCAGCACCGACTTCCTACCGAAGGGGATCTGCGCCTTTATCATTGCCAATGCCTCCTTCAACAGCTGTCGGCTCAGCCCAAAGGCGAACGCCACGAACCTCCTCCCATCATCCGTCTTCATATATAGAGGCGATATTACACACCGCATCAGCAACATTTTCAGGTCCTCGATGCTCTCGTCCTCGAAATCAAACAAAGCGAATGCATCACGGAGCGTATAAACCCTGTGCACGTCCACTTTCTTCTTCAACGTGAGTGACCGCGACAGCAGGAAGGGTAACGACTGAGATATCAAAGTTTCCCTACCCGGTAGATCCCTCTTCCACCATTCCTCGCATAAGCTCGCAATCTCATTTGACAATACCGGATCCGACTCGAAGACAATCAAATTATCGTGCAGCGATTGAACGGAGGGCAGCAACTCAGGCGGTGAAAACGCGTTTTTAGGATGAGAAACACAGAATATTTCTATGCAGCCAAGAACTTTGAGGGAATCGAGAATTTGTTGCTTCCTTCCAGCGAAGTTGGACTCTCCGCTTTGTTCTCCGGGTTCGGGTTTGGATTTGCGGGACTGGCGTGAGGATCTTCGGAGGCGCTTGACGGGAGGGGAGTTGGCAGGTGAACGAGGAGGGGAGGAATCTTCTCCAAGGTTTAGTAAGGAGACGATGAACTGAGATACGGAGCGGTGCAGGGCGAGCGGGAGAGAGGACGAAATGTCCGAAGAGGGCTTTATGCCATGGATTAGGTTTTTAATGGCGGGCTTTGAGGTCTTGATGCTGAGCTTCGTGACTGAAGAGATAAAGTCTTCCGCAGAAGATTGAAGAGAAGACCGAAGTTTCTTCTCCATTTTCTTGTTGGCAGAGTTTCAGTTCGAGGAAGAATATGAGAAATGGATAACGAAAAATGAGAGAATCGTTGCTCGTTCTTAGTACCTGCTGTGATGTAATTGTTCCTGACAGACCAATTGCTAGCACGGGTATAATGATGTCAAGGAAGTCAACCCGGGAGACTCCTTAACTTCTGGAACAATGATTGGCTGTCGTTTCCAATATCGAACAGGCAGGTGGCTTTAGATTTGAGAATTTTCAAATGGTTTGTTGGCGCGCTTTTCTTTAGGAGTTCATTTTTTATTTTTATATCACTGGGCCTTGTTGGAAAAAAGTAAAAGAAACAGAGCCCATTAAGAAGTTGGGCTTATTTTATCAGTCCAATTGGATAATACAATCAACACAAACCATTTATTTCTTTTTTAAATAAAATAAAATAAAATTTCAATAATTTAAATTAATTATATAAATACTTAATTTATAAAAAATATTTATAGGTTTTTTTTAATTTTTCCTTACGTAATGTGATCAGGTTCAATGATCAATTCACTTTTAACAAGTGCAAAACGAAAAAAATTAAAAAGGTTTTAAAGTTAGGAACACAATGAATTTTATGAAGGTACAATAATCAAATATCATAATAATACCAAATGTAGTGCTATAAAAACCGATAACCAAATTTATAGTTGAATAAATTGACCGGTAGTTAGGCTAGTCAAATACCCTTGCGCGAGAGTTCGGGTGTTATGTATAATTTTTTAAAAATTTATTAATTAAATAATAATATATATACATCAATTATTATGTAATAAAAATAATCTTAAAATAAATACGTACCAACAATTTATTTTAAGTAGTAAATTTAATTTGTTATAATGTTTATTAGAGTTACTTTATCATAATTTTTTATTAATTATTATATGAGAAAAATAATTTCAAAATGAGAATACACACAGAAACATAATTCAACCCGCACACGCGTAATTTTATCATGTTTATTGAAGTTAATTAATCATAATTTTTGTGTCATTTCATGGCTAAATTTTTACTGTGACATCTCGTTGTTAATTTATTATTTCAATACAAATTTATATATACTACCGATATTATATATTTAAATGAACATAATATAAATTTTGGCATGGTATAAAACTTGTATTATTAAATTACGAATTAAATGATGTTAAAGTGCTTATTTGAGAATTTAGTAGTTAAATGTTTTAATATATAACATATTATTTTATATGTGTGTATACATAGGTGATCGTCGGTCTAGACAACAACACTTTTTGAGGTGCTCAATAATTTGTAAGTCGTGAATGCTTGAAGAGAGAAAAGGTAAATTATTTGGTAAGAATATATGTCTGTATCCTTATGCATGTATATTTATATATTACAAACACACACACATATACATACATATATATATATATATGGATGTAGTACAACCCTTAATTATAAACAGAAATAACAATATAAAAAAATGCTAAAATGATTTTATTTTTAGTATAAATAAAATCAATTTTCTTAGACACCCTTAATTTGAATTTTTTCTTTATAAATTTTTATTTATATAAATAAAAATTAAAATAATTTAATAAATTAGTTTTTAAAATTAGTTTTTATGAAAAATATCAAAACTTTAAAAAAAAATAAAGTTATGAATTAAATGCAGAAGCGAAATAATAGAGTTTACGGTTCACATTTCTTGTACAATAATTTAGAGTACCCAATAGAGTTACGAGAATGTCCTTTTTAAAAAAAATAAATGAAAATCAAAAAAATAAACAAAAGGCAATACACTGAATATTTTAGGATGAATTTCACTAGCTTTTGAAGGGAGTCCGCGTAGTGAGCTATTATAACCTTTTTGTTGATCGAGATCTGGTCTTAATTTTTTTGATATGAAATAATTAATGAAATTGTGAGTTATACTAACCCCGTAAAAATATCGCATTACTCACCGATGCAAAAACTGAATGTTGGTAAAAATCATAAAAATAACTCATGCAACTTTTAATTTAAGTAAATTCATTTATCATAAGGAAAAATCATTTATTATATATATTTACTATTGCGAGATTTTCAAAATCGACCTTTAGAGATACAATAATTCAAATAACATTCAAATCTCATTTTCAGTGAGGAATAGCAACTATTTTCTCTTTTTATTTGTCTACTGGTATCCTTGGGGACCCATAAGGATTTTTTACTACGCGTGAACCAATATTCAATATTGTCAACTAACCGGTCGTCCTCATACCTCGTTCGGTATGAGCGACAAAAATATTATCCATCAATACCCTGTCCGGTATGAAGGTGAATTATGTCGTCCTCATACCCCATCTAGTATGAGTACGAAAAATATCATTTCTCGATACCCCATCCGGTATGAGGCAACGTTCATGATAGGATTTCCTATATATCCGGTCTGTCCACCATCTCACAAGATATCCAGTAAGGCTACCATTCATTAATTTACATGACCAATCAATTTTTAGCTTGCATATTAATTTCTAATTTCACAAATCAACCATAAATCATGCAAGACAAATAATATATATATATATATATCAAAAAAACATAATTGAATCATTTAACCATTCCAATATATCATCATATATTTAAAGCTGTAAATTCCACAATCAGTTAAATATGACAAATAAAGAACTAATTGGTTCCACCTTCATTAGTAACATGTAATTATTCTCAAAGTTTTTTAATTTACACAAAATACCATATAATCGATTATTAAGCTTCAATTCCATAATAGAGAATAAGGTGAGAGATTCTTACTCAAATCGGTGTCTGAAATACCGAACTTTCTATTGCACCTATTGATGGTCCCCGGGTTTCCTGATTTTTTCTATGGAGATTAAAACATACTTCACTTACCTAAAAATACTTCCAAAAAATTCAAAATCAGTTAAAAAAATATTTTTCAGCTAATTTTGAAATTATAACATAACGGCACTGCCGTGCTCTGGCGACGACACCACCACCCACGGGGTGGTTTGTCTCGACCTGGCCGTTTTCGGTCAATTTTGGTCGATTTCGGCAGATTTTATACCCATCCTTACGAGAAAACACGTTAGGGGGTCTCGGTGGCCGAAAAAAGTCAAAAAACAGAAACCTACAAGTGGTGGGATTTTCCGGTGCGGCTGCTCCACCGACTCACCTTTACGGTTAGATGTTTTTCTTCGATCAACCTATAAAAAATAGAATGGCGAACATAATGGTGAAAAAATCGCACGATACGAGAAACAGAAAGGAGCTCATCGGATGAGGTTTCGAGTTTTGCCTGCGGCGATGTCATCAGGCTTTGCCCGCAGTTTCTGTCTCACCTACCATTGTTTTTGCTCCGATTTGATCATGGGGGTGCTCGAAATCAAATTCCAAACGGATATGATAATTTTTTATCTTTTTTAGCGGTCGGATGTGGCTTCGGCGTAGCGGTGAGCGGCGGTCAGCTCCCTTCTCCAGCACTAGTTCTTCTTCTCCGACAGGAGGTTAACGGCTAGGGTTTGGGTTCGGTGTGATACGAGCTATTTATATAAGTATCGCGTTAATCTGGATTGTTCATCGTGTTTGATCTCAAGCGTCCAACCACATTTAAAGAAAAAATGAATATGAACCGTTTGTCGCGATTTGATCTCGGCCGTACTATCGAGTCTGATGAGGAAATGGATCTGGACTGTCCACGTGCGCGGACACGCGGATTGCCAGCGTGGCCTCCCGCGTGGCACCGAGTCAGCGCAATTTACCACACAGCGCGCTCCGGTTCGTCGGGACTGCTGACTGGGCGGTCCTACGTAACAAAAAATTTTTTAATTGCGTTTTGATCCCCAGTTTTCGATTTTTCTTTCAAAAACACCATCTGAACCTAAATTTTTATCTATTTTTTTCAAAATTATTTTCAATTTCATCATCAGCCTATTTTTTTTTTTTCTAATTTCACATTAAATAAAAATTTATTAATTTTAAAATTAGATTTTTATACATTTCTTAAAATTTAAAATTAATCACGGGCCAAATTCTGGATCCGGGTATTACATTTTAAACCCTTAATAATATTTTTTATTTATTTGAAATATATAGTTTTCATCAACTTTATGCAAAAATTGGTTCATTCTATTTTCCTTCCCTACAATTAATTTTTGAAATTTAATAATTATTACGATTTAGTCCATAATTTCTTCTTGTTATAGTTTGGCTCCTTAACTTTTGTTTCAAACATCTAATTTTTTTTGTTAATTTTATAATAAAAAATACAAAATAATTATAGTATATTTTATACTTAAAAAGCAATTTAAAATAATAATTTTGACAAATTAATTATTAAGTAATGGTAATTTTTAAAAATATTTAAATATAACATAATTATTTTAAAAAAAAAAAATTAGACGTCTAAATGGACAAACATAAGACATTAAATTAGAACTAAAAAAATATCATATACTAAATTATTATAAATATCAAATTTCATGAATCAATTTGATAAATTACTCTGAAAATTACAATTCCATTATTCAATTGTCAAATTGAACCAAATGTACTAGGAATTTATTGAGGAAATGGACCCAAATATAAATACATTTGTCATTGGAATTATGATTGTTGTTTTGATTGGGAGAAGTAACTTCCACACTGAGTGACACCCATCTTTAATATGTGTTACATGAAAAAATTCTTAACATAGACATAAACAAATATATATATATATATATATATATATCTTTATGCTTCTAGCCAACTTACATATAGATGTCGCGTTATATGCATACATGATGTACGTACGTATGTATGTATGTCTGTATGTCTGTGTGTGTATACATATATGAAAGATGCAAAAAAAAAAAAGGAGGGTATGCAGAGAGGGGAAGTAGAGAGTAAATGCAGAGGACTAAAAATAAAATGGCATGTAGTATGCCAGACTGGAATTCCTAAGAACTCCATGAAGGCATGTGAGAGAGGTGGGGGAGGGTCTGACACCAGTTTGCCATGAATCTCATGCCATTGCCAGCCATACTTCACCTTCCCCCTCAAAAACAAAATTTACCAACTCCTAAATCCATCATCATATGCCTTTTTGGGTCCTACACCCATCAATTGCAACAACATTCTCAATTAATTTCTTCCTTTCATTTTGTTAATTTTTATTTTTATATCTAAAATTTTTAGTGTTTATACGTTGGATTATCCTTTATGTCTAAATATAATATGAATTTCGTCAGTCACATTGACGAAAAGCAAAGATTAAAAAAATTCATGAATGCGGAAAAAATTATAGTATTAGATAATAAATACTAACAAATTATAAAGTTCGATTTGATACTAAACGATTTCTTTCAAATTATCTTAGTATACGAAAGATTACTTAATCGACACTAATGAATACTAAAACCACGCAATAATGTTTCACTCGAAAGGGTGGATATTACTTTTTTTTCAACGAACAAAAATTGGGTTTAACTGTTATTTTGCAGCAAATTCATCAAAAAGAAAACCCTCAAATATTCCAGGCAAAATCAAATCACATTCACCTTTTATATATACTTTTCAAAATGGCCCAGAATGTAACACAGATGTACCAAAATCAAACAAAACAGTTTTTCATTCCTCAATGCTTTCAGCCTTTTGAAAGACACAGGGAAGCATCTCACTACCCCCCACCACATCAAAAGGTAGGGCTTCAACTGATGTATACATAAATATATATTCTCTGTCACGACATGAAAAAATTAAAAAAGAAAAAACCCCAAAAAAAAAAATCAAAGGGAAAAAGAAATACAACAGATTGGAAGAGTGGGTGAGCAATATAGTAGGTGGTGCATTCATGAAAGCAAACACTACAAAGAATTGACTATAAACAAACAGTCTTCAATGGCTTTCTGGCAAGCAATCTCTTCGCCTCTCTTCTTCCCTCCTTAATGGCTTTTAGACTTCACTAAGTCTCTTTCTTTTTCTCTTTCTCTCATATGATCATCATACTCTTTTGGCTAAAGCTATCACTTCTTCTGTTTATTTATTTACTTTCCCTTTTCATCCTTGTCTTCTTGGTTGTCACCGGGCTGAAAATTTTTGTTTGGTATTGGAAAATGGAACCTCAATCACCAACTCCAAACTATACCATGACATGGTAGATAAAATCCATTTAACACCTATAATCAAATCTAATAACAAAGGATTAAATTCCTTTCCCTGTGAAAAAAGCTGGCTGCTATGTAACCAAGTCAATAAACCCACACACCAAATATTTCCTTAGAGGGAAACATCAAACTCCAATCAGTCCAACGTCCGACAGATTTTCTTTACCGGGCTGTTTTGATCCAACTCACTGAATGTGAGCCGCCTCTTAGACCCGGCTCCAGATGCTAAACAAGAACTCTCAAGAACATCAGTTGAGCTACAGTGTAGTGTTGACAACTTTGGGGAGAAAACTTTAGGTGTCTTGTACTCCCCCATCTCTATTTCCTGCATTAGATTATAACAGGAGAACACACGTTCCTGCGGCAAGTTCAATTGTAAGATGAATTTGTATTAGTTAAAGAACAAAATGCCATTATCAACAATTTAACAAAGCCTCTTCACTCTTTACTTTAAAAAGATAAGACAAGTTTACAAAAGAGAAGTACTTTATAATCCGAGGAGAAAAGCTCACATTTTCTAGAGATACCCACGATGAGATCACTTCCATCTTGACCTTCATTTCTTTTGTTGTTAATTTCCTGGAAGATGCAGCAAGAACTGCAGCGGCAGCAATAGCCGATGGCCGATGATTCATAAGATTAATCTCTGAACCAAGGTGACCCAGATTAAGTACTTAATCAATTTAAAGCAATCATCAAACATCTAGATATATGTTTAAGGATTACCCTTTGGAATAGCCAGGATAAGTTCCACAGCTTTAGACACCAGTTCTTTTAGTCTAGCTTCTTCACCACAGAACTTGAGAATAAAGAAATGCAAATAAGCAAAAGGAGTGACTGAACTCATCTTCCATTCCAAAGTACTCAACACCAATAACTCCATTCTTTGAATCACCTTGTCTTCAAAAACATAATCATCTACTGCAAATTCTGATAAGGCTGGTACTCTG